CTCCAGACTCAAATAATACATAAAACAGAAATATTTAATTATTTCTTGCCTGGCACAGTACCAATTGGTCCATGACCAATTGGTCATGGACCGGGGGTTGGGGACCACTGTTGTACACCATTGGGCCACACTTAACAGCCAGGGTAAATCTGAGTTGCTCTGGGTTTTATTTAGGGGGATGAATGTTCAAGGGTCTGAAATGTGCTGCTTTATGCTTGTTTTATAAAATTCCAATAAATTAAATAGTAGTTTGTGGTTTTAAAGTGACATAATGAGAAAAAAATCCAAGAGCTACACTGAAAAAACAAACAAACAAAAAACACAAAATCTTGCCAAATGGTTTTGGTTTAGTTTCCAATGTTACAAATCAAATAATCTACCAGTGAAACTAGTAATTTATTATCAATATTACTAAATTATTGACTTAAGCTCCTAGATCTCGCTGAAAAGTTACTTGTAAGTTAGGTTTAGTCTTACTTTAAGTGTACCAAGATGTTGAAACATGACCAGAAATACTAAAATGTTGAGTTTTTGCAGCTGCCTTTGTGAGGCTCTGCACATGGAAAACCTGCTTCTTTCTGTCCAGCAGACAGTTTTCCGCTCTACCTCGGTTTTCCAGATGAAACCGTCTTCATAAGGAGAGCAGCTAATGAGCTGCATGTCGCTGAACTCTCATATTTGCGTGAGCGTCTACTTACGTGTCGGTGAACGACAGTCTCGGCCTTCGCGGTTCGGACTGGCCCATCATCGCCTCGGACCACACCTCGGAGTCCGAGTGGCCGTTGGCATGGTAACCGTCTCCGCCAGGTTTATCGCAGTGGGAGTCCATGTCCTGAGGTGGAGAGGCCATTGATATTCATAGTTTCGACAATAAAAACCTGCATGACAATTAGATGGCCACTTAAACGCAACCGTTGTCCTTCCACTTAGTTTTAACGGCCACATTCCTGCTCTCTGAGTGTGCCATTAAACTTACAGGTCCTGCATTACCAGAATGTGAATAAATCCAGGCCATTTCATATTCGCTGACCTCCAGGAGAACACTTACCCCGCCGTTTCTAGCGTGCGCCGTCGCCTTCCCTTCGCCCCGCCGGTGTCTGTGCGACGAGGCGGCGGCGGCAGAAGAGGATGCCGAGCAGGGCAGCATCCCCACCGCACCGGCCTCTTCGGTGAGGGAGGGGCCGCCGTCGCAGGCCCGCTTGCGGGGGGGCTCGTCGGACAGCGGCGACAGCAGCGGGGGCAGCAGCTTGTCGTCACGCCGCCGGGTCTGCTTCCTGTTCAGAGAGCCGCTGAACGCCAACAACAAGGGCGATAGAGAAGATTAATTCATATGTTCTTATTACTGGTTTACTTATGTTAAAAAAAAACAGCTTTATGAGTGTGAAAAAACTTTACACCCCAGATCCATTTCAAGCTCAGAGTGAGAAACTAAATAGATGTGATTGTGAAGTTTAGCATAGCTAGCATAGCTAGCATAGCACGAAACTGAAACGTTTCTGACAAGAATCGAACTGAAAATAATGAGACATGAGATAGAAATTATGCTAAAATAATGTAGCAATTATTGAATAGTGAACGAACAAAAACATTCTAAAAGTCGATGTGTCTTTACATATTTTCTAGCTTTGCCTGTGGGTTTGTAAAGGCGTTGTACAGCTGGAAGCCAAAGCAGCTTGGGGGAACATAATGTGGAACAACAGCAGCTTAAACGAACCTTGAGGAGAAAACCCAGAGTGGAAAAACTCCTGGAGGAGCTTAAAACAACCAGACAAAACTTCTCTCATCATCAGTCTGACTTCTCCTCACTGGACCAATCGGAGTCGTCCAGAGATTTAAATATCACATTCGGAAAACCATTTCACGGCTTCTAAAACTGTACTTTTCGTCCCCTTGCTGCACATTCGTGATTATTCCCTCGGCCGCCTTGTTGGAGCTCCGGTGACTCATATTGTTTGCAACACAAGTGATAATATTTTTATGTTTTTCCTCTCCCTGGAAACTCTGGGGGGTTTGATGCAGCTAGAAAGTTGCTGAGCTCACAGAACAGGGCCCCAGGCACCGACATTAGAGATGATATACAAAATAAGGCAGACAAAGACTAATTACTTGCAGTATAGAGAGAGAGAGAGAGAGTGTGTGTGTGCATGTGTGTGTGGATATTTGAGGGTGTGTATGCCTTTGTGCCTGCGTGCAGCATAACTGATGTGTGTTTTGGATATTCTAATTTGCATGCGTAAGGTGTTAAGTTTTCTCCTCCCTAACAGGATATTTTTTTCTCTCTGTATATCTTGTTGAGTTATATACTCACAGTAATATATGGCTTTATGATCAACAAGCTCTTTTATTGCTCTTGTGTTCCCAACACTGAGACAAATCTAATACGAAAAGAGATAAAGCTGCTTCATTTTTATATATGGGAGAATGTGGGGAGGTGCAAAACAACTTTGCCTTCAGTGAGAATATAATTCTGGCCCGTGTTAAATAATTAACTGTGACTAGTCAGTTCAGTTTTATTCACCACACCCAGGCTGATTATTTTAAGATTTAAAAATGTAGAAACTGCTTGAACTGGACCTGAACCCAACATGAAGTAGGCAAAGAGAAGCTTCCTGGGAGAGGAAAACCCACTGAAAGCTCACAGGGCGAGATGGACTTAAAACTTTATCGCAATATTTTGTGGTACTATTGTGATATAGCTAAAGATTATTATATAAAAAAATCTATCATTTTTTTAGACAACTGTAGGGTTGTGACTTTATGGCAAAGCAATTACAGTGCCACAAATCCAAATATTGTTCTTGAAAAATATCCCCATTTACAACAAGCTACAGGATGTAACTTACTCAAAAAGGTTGTGGTTTACATCACTAGCTGATGCTACATGGTTAGCATTGAGATGCTATCTTAGGTTTGAATAACTTTGCTAACAGGCTAACTCCTTTTAGCACATCAGCAGTGTTTTCCAGCATCTCATCAGACGATTTCTTAAAAAATTAACCCCTAATGGGCCAAGAGAAGCAACCTTGTCATCCATCGTTGTTAGTGGATGTCGTCTGTGCGCCAGATTTACGGGTGTACCAAAAACGCGCAAATACAAAGGTTCCACTAGGAACATTTGCATGTAAAAAAAACCCAACAAAAAACACACTAACATGCGATTAATCACATTAAAAAATTTTAACGTTAAAATGTATATAACTATTTAACTGAACTACTCTGTGCATTCTGCCCGACTTGGAAAGGTGATAATCTGAACCATTTAAGTGTGATCAAGAGGAGGCTTTTAATTTCTTCACATTTCGTCTTCAGTTGTAAAACCATGCTGCGTTGTTTTCCTGAGGTAGATCTGAATTCTTCCTGAGCATCAGAGTGATCAGTCCAGCCAGGGAAACACCTGCCAAACGTCGCAGGAAGCTGCTGACTGAGCCTGATGATCTCATCGCCCCGTTCGCAGCTTTCCGCCGAAAAGCCTCCCGGATGATAAACAGAGCGAGGTGACAATCACACAGTGTCACAGGTTCAACCCCCGGTCACCCCGTCCTCCTCCCCCGCGCCTCTTTAAGAAGCCCCAGATGCTATAAAAATATTTCCTCTGTAGCTGTCACACAGGAGCTTATTTACAGCGACAGGCGGCCTAGTCTGTTTTTAAATAATTCACACGGAGAGCTGAAATTCACGCTTTGTCATTCCTGTGTCACATTGTGAATGAAAGTCGCCTTGTGTGGCAGCTTCATTGGTGCAGTGAAAAATATGAAGCGCTGCCAAAAAGACCCGCTCAGCATCACAGTCATTGGATAACCTCTCCCTCCCCTGGGGACGGCTTGCTCAGTACAGGGAACAGACCGGGAGCGCCGTCTTCCAGTTCACACGAATCTCTAACACACCACAGATGACACCTATGACAGAAGGTGTCATCTGCCTCTTTACACCACAAGAGCAGTAAAAACAAGGAGCTGAGGACCTGATCTCAGAACCAGGGAACAGGAGCTGAAGTACGATGAGAACCTTGGGCTGTTTTTCATTTTCTGGAGGGAAGTAAAAGTGAAGCCCAAAAGAGCAAAAACATAAAACAAAAAAAAAACCCTGAATGTTGTTTATTCTCATCCAACTGAACGTGGCAAAAGGCTTTTAAAAAACTGTAAGAAGCTGATTTGAGAAGAACTGGTTTAGAACAACAGAGTAGAGAACTAGAGATGCACAGATATGGACATTTGGGGCGATGCTGATATCTGATGTTTAGGCCTGTAACAAGTGATAAATCAATTAATCACATGATAAATTAAAATGACCTCAATCATTTTAATTTGCATGGTTTATTGTTTTTTCTTTGTTCTTTCTACCAACTAACTTATTACTAAAAGTCTTCAGTCTGGTGTTTTGGAGACGACATAATACTCTCGTTTGATATTTAAATGTGTTAAATGTTCATTACAATTTAAAGTTTATTCACCTTTGAGAATGTGTTCTTGCATTATTTTGCCATTTTCATTACATTAATTATCGCAATAACTTCTGGGACAATTTATCAAGCAGTAATATTTGTTGTCGTGACAGATCTACCGATGTTAACATTTCTGTTATGACTGCTAACCGATATTTACCAATATCATAGATATTCTATACGTTGGATACATTTTCCTGCCCTTTCTAAACCGCGAAACAACGACCTCATCATTGTTATTACTTCTCTGTCATGGTGACCAAACAAAAAGCTCATGACCATCTACCTCCAGAAACACAAACAACAACAAGATGGAAATAAACATGGCTTGTTAAAATCGACTCAGTTTGACTCATCAGACCAATTCTGATATGTTAAGAAAACAGGCCGATATCATTGTTAATGTCGATGTAGTGTGGTTTAGATTTGCAGTTTATGTGACCACTACTTTTGTCTGAATTTGCCTTTATCTATTTAAGTTAGATTAAAATTTGCCACAATCTTTTTTATAAATGTCATAGTTATTGTAGTTAACATGAGCGTCTCTTAATTTTTAGCCCTTTTAATCATCACACCTCACAGCTTTACATCAGTTTTGCTTTCTGTGTGAGTTAACCTGAGGACCAGCAGTAGTAGATAGGTGCTCCTGACTGAATGATTGATTGATCGATTGATTAATTGATTGATTAATTGATTGATTAATTGATTGCTTGATTGATTGATTGCTTGATTGATTGATTGATTGATTTATTGATTGATTGATTGATTGATGCATGTCTGGTGTTCCCACATCAGAACTTACTCTGCAGAGCTGCTCTTGTGGTTGTGTATTGGAGAGATGCATGGTGGGAGGAGCAGGCAGTCTTTGTCCAGGCGCAGCTTCTTGTTACACTTGACCGGTGATTCTCCGTGGTCCAGCTGGGAACAGAGGACAGGGACAGTGAGTTAGCTGAGGAGCGACCGGACGGTTTGGGGATCAACATGGCCGTAGTTTAATCAGCACCTTGTGTTTCCTCTTGCTCTTGCTGGTGTGTTTTTCTGTGGGAGCCACCATGTTTGCGGCCGCCTGCCTTCTGTGTTTACCTCCGTTCTCCAGTCTCTCCGTCCGCCCAGCCAGCCTGGGATTACCCTGCTCCTGCCCAGGGGGGTTATCCAGTACCCCCATACCCTGACTAATCTTCTCTCTGTCCCTTGCCACAGTCCTCTCCCTTTCCCCAAATCCAAACCTCTCCCTGTCCTCTCTGTCCGTCTGCCTCTCCCTCTCTCCTTGCCTTTCTTTGTCCTTCACTAAACGCTCATTTTCTTCTTCTTGTCTCTCCCCCTTTGTCAGCTTCTGCCTCTCCCTGTCCCTCCCCGCGTTCCCTTCCCGTTCTACAACTCCGATCCTGGCTCTTTCCCCCGCCGTCTGCTCCGGCACCCTGCTGAGGAAGCTCAAGTCGATTTTCACCCACAAACTCTGAACCTCGTGATATTCCCTCAGAGGGGACAGAGCCACATCGTGTCCCACGTTTGACGGCGGTGACGCGGGCTCCGCATCCTTCCCCTGCCCTCCGGACCCTCCGGGATCGGGAACCGAGTTCCCAAAGGAAGCACTTATGTTGCCGATACTCAGCAGGTTGCCGTTGCTGACGCCATCACCTCCGCTGCCGACTGTGCTGACGCCGTCTTTGACTCGGAGTCCAGTTGCGGCGAACGTGCCCAGACTTCCCGCCCCTGCAGCAGAGCCGAGGCACGGGAGCAGAGGCGCGTGGCTGTGCACGGTGGCCAGCATCTGGGCGCTGATGGACGGGGCTGGCATGGACAGGATCTTGGTGGCTTCCTCGCCATCCGACTGGCATTCCGACGAGGAGGAGGAGGAATCTGTTTCGATGAATTCCCTGGACTTCGGTGTGATTTTGGTGCTGGGACCTCTGTGTTTCCTCTTATCCTGTTACATGGATCAACAGCAAAAAGAAAACAAACAAACAAAAAAAAGAAGCAGAGGGACGTTTAGTCAGTCATATTAAATCCCACATGGTTTGAGTCGTTTCCCCTGGAGCAGGCATGTCAAACTCATTTCATTTTGGGTCACATCAGGATCATGAATGTTCTCAGAGGGACGGTTGTGTCAGAATTTACTGATAAAACTCATTAAACTGTTAAAATATTAATAAACAGCTGTACCTGCCTTTAGCACTTCTTAAAGGGGCAGTGTCATGTAAAGTTAAAGTTTTTGATCTTTACTTCATATTATAAAGTTATTCCGTCATCAAAAACATACCTGAAGTGTGTTTTATTGAGTCTTTCATGCATGTTTGCGAAATCCTTTAATCTCCATGGCAACCATTCGGCCATCCAAAACGCCTAGTTGGACCTTGCTCAGTCAAATTTGATTTATGCAGCACTTTAACAACTGAAGGTAATATAAATGAATAAGTGGCTCAATGTACCTGGAAAACATATAATACTGGGCTTTAAAATTAAAAAATATTGAATATCTTGAGATTTTATTTTATTTTTTACAATTAAAAATCACTGGTTTTGTGGAGCTAATTTAGAAATATTTACAAGACATTTTTTAACCCGACATATCGATGTCAAGTTATAGTTTGTGATCTAGTTAGGCTGAGACAGCAGAAGAAAGGAATACTGCCACCTGCATGCAGGCATTAGTAAAGCTTTAGATTATATTTGCAGAAAATTTCCAATAAATTCACAACTGTACATTAGCGGGGAAAAGTGAGGTGATCTGTTAATTTTGCATGAGAAACCCATTGATGTAATTTGGAAGTTCACAGATAAAAAAAGCTTTTATCAATACAATAATATTAGTTATCTTGACGGTTGTATTTTATATGTCCCTCTGCAGTCTAGAGGAAAAAGAAAAAATCCTGACTGCCTTAGAAAAGGCAATCAACCTGCTGAAACAATCCGGCTTATTTACCACGAATTGATGCACTCCTAAACTCCCCAACAAAAGAGATCTGCTGTAGACAAACATTACAATCAAAAACAAAGCCTGTAACTGGATCACCAAACGCGATAATATCATGCAAATTATGCGGCACAAGTTGCCAGCTTGTTCTACTAATCTGTGAAGTGAAAAGAAACATGCTTTGGCTGTGTGACTCCGAATGTCACCAACATTCAGTGCGCACGAGTCACACAGCCGAGCGGACGGCCGTCTGCTCGGCACATGCAAATTAAAAGATGCGTCTAATGTTTCTTATCTACCAGTTCCTTCATAGATGAGTTTGCTTTTGTTGAGAAGGAGAGCTCGTTTGTGAATCCTTGATGCTTCGAGTTGAGATTTTTGTCTCCTGTGAACGCAACAAAGCAAACATAAACAGTACTTTTCTGACAAAGATGTAAAACTTTGCTGCTTTTAATGTGTTAAAAGTGTTCAAACTTTGGATATGTTAAGGTTTTGTCACTTTAGAACCACAAACATCTGTTTATTTTATTGGGGGGTTTGTATCATAGACGAGTTGTAGTGAAGTATTGCAAAAATTATTTTCTAACTTTTTGGCAGCTTTCCTGTCCTGACTGAAGAAATTCAAATGCAAGTTTTATCTGTACGTAGTTGAATCTTGCATCATCATTTTACATTTATAGTAGAAATGAAGCCTCAAAAAGTTATTTTTTATTAAAAAAACAAAACAAACAAAAAAAACTTTTATCTAAAATGATTGAAGATTTAGGCATGCGTTCATTTTTCTTTATGAACACATCCAAGTTGTTGAAAACAAAACTGGTGCAACATGTTTAACACGTCAGTCTTTAATCACTAAAAACACAGCTGCTTTTATACTTACCATAAAATTGCGCAGCTGGAATTACAAAAATAAATTAGCTTAACGGAAACACAGCAATTTAGAAAGAACTCTTTTGATAAAGAGTTTTTAGGATGAGTTGGTTCTTCAGCCGTATCAAAATTAGAGTATTTTGCAAAGCTGCAGTGGAAAATCTTTTCTTTGCGTCAAACAGGTTGCATGACCAACAACAGGATGTTACTACTGGAGGAAAACACGAAGAGACAACAGGAAGTGGTAGGAAGATGATGGTGCAGAGTGTTTATGACTTATCACATGATCAGGTTTATTCACAGATTTTCATTATGTTTCTTATTAAATGGAAACGTTGCAATTGCAAAATTGGAATATTGACAAAGTTTTATACAAATTTGTCATGGAAATGCAGCTAATGACTCCTGATTTATTATGATGCATTTTTTTGGTGACAATTCAGCAAAACTTTTTTTCTGTCTCTTCATCTGCATAAATCCTGGTTGAGCCACAAAACTAAAGCTATGATCCACGATTCACATTTGAAAATGCCATCTTCATGCTGGAAACCAAAGCGTTTCCGTCAGAATGCGTGAACAATCTGCTACACATGCCGGACCCGGTGCTGAGTTTTCCAGATGTTGGAAAGAGGCGGTGAGGTGTTTTGAGTGGAGAGCCGACGCTGACCTGGTTCACGGTGACAGCAGGAAGAGGCACGGGGGTCTGCTGCAGCGCTGCTGGTGGAGTGGCTGAGCTGGTGGCACTGCGAGGCTCTTTCCTCGGGGCCGTCTTCCCGCTGAGAGGCTTCCCCCGCGGCCTGGGGGGGTTCTGGTGCTCCAGGGGAGGCGGGGGCAACAGGTCCTTCTCTCTCGCCGCAGGGCTAGTTAGAGGAGACACAAACAACAGGAAGCACGGCGCTCCGAGTTAAGATCAAGCCGGCAGCGAGGCGCGGCGACCCCGGTTACTGATCGCTGCCAAACAGCTGAGCAGAATGTTTGCCTGGGCTAACTCCGGGGGGTGAATGGGTGTTCAAAATGGAAAACTAGATAAATAAATAAATAAATGCAACGGGGTGAAATAATTGAAAACAGCATGAGTTTAACTGAACTAGTCTGGAAGTTTAGGATGCAAGAGAGGAGAGGAATAAGTGAGTGAGGGAGAGAGAAACAAGAAAGGAAACAGGAAGGTGGTTTTGTTCTGCTAATTGGCCTGAAGTCAAGCTGAGCAACGAGTTCAACGTCGGTTCCACTAAATCCACTGTGGGAAATCACAGTCCTGAAAACCTCAGACTAAATATTAATCCACTACATCACGCTTTACACACACTCATCATCTGCAATCATTTCCTTGGATTTTGGAGCTTTTTATAATGCATTTGAGCTGCTTTGTGATGCTTATGCAACATAAAACTTCACAGAGTTTAAAAAACAAGAAGCATGTGACGTTTTTCTCCCAAAACCCATCGGGGATCTACACTGACCAAACGCTCTAAGTAGCCAAAGCTTCCAGCTCTGGGTGAATATTTGACCCCTCTTCTAGTCAGAAATGGTAAAACTGATAACGGTTGAATAGTTTCCTGATCTGGGCTTTTACTACAACCCATAAACCGGAGAAGGCCAGAGCCATTCCTGAAGGTTAATGTTAGCCTGATTTATCCACTCCAAAACCGGCTTGGGTGTGTAGCTTGAGAGGATGTGTGTGTGTTTGGGATTATTGTCTTGTTGATACACACACTTGTGTCCGAGTTTCAACCATTTTGACTAAACTTTCTGTTTCAGATGAAAGGAAGCTGCTAACAGGGTTTCTACAGGTTTCACCAACTCAAATGTAAGATGTTTCTAAAAGACGGTTATGAATGAAATTTAAGATCCGTATCATGACAGAAATGTACAAAAGAAAATCACATTTTGTATAGAGCCCAGAAAGCACATGGCATCGTGCAACAGAAGTGGAGAAGACAAACATCGTCCAGCCAACCAGCGATCATTTACCAACAGACACATAAAGCTAGCAAAGGCAACTTAGCAGCTAGTTAGCAGCAGCTTCAGTCACAGGATGGAAATAAGATGTCTGCATGCGACTCAAATGAACATTTTGTTGTGGCTTGATTATTTAATATTCTATATTCTGTGTAGTTTATTTTTTCTCATGAATCTTTTTTCAATCAAAAAGTTTGAGTCGCACAAACTCACACAGACATCTCAGATTATTTCACTTAAAACAAATACTTTTTCATCAATAAGGCGTTATTGTCTTACAAAAAGCTTCTGCTTCTTACTGAAAAGTTACTTGTCTTATTTCAAATTTACTAAGATATTTGCGCCAGACCAAAAACACTTGGTAGGATTTTGTGTTTTTGCAGTGCAGTCGGGGTTAAATGTCCAGCCACAGCTCTGATCTTAGTGGTGAACCATTCTTTATGTGGTAATTTGTGTTTTGATAATATCAGAACAACACAGTACTACTCATCAAAATATTCCAGGAACCCTCCTATTGATGATCATCATCTGTTCTTTCTTTCCTCTCTTTGGGAATTAAAAACACCTGAAAACCTTAAAAGTCTTTGTTTTAACTGTGTGTTAGCTGCCTGGTTGGATCATGTGAACTGTTTTAGCCTCAAGCAGTGAAAATTCCCCGTGCGACTCGTGTTTTTGTCCGGGCTCCTGCTGGTTCTGAGAGGTGTAAAGCAGCCGGCTCCGTCCTCTCCTCCGTTACCTGTGCTGGTTGGTCCGGCTCCATGCCTGGTTCTGGTTCTCCTCCACGCTGCTGGACCTCTCGGCCCGGCGCGGCTGCTTCTTCCCGGTGGTGTTCCTCCTCGGGGCCGGGACCTCCTGCCCCGACAGCAGGCCTGGCGACAGCCTCATCTTTGACCTCTGACCCTCCCCGGAAGCCTTCTGGCCCAGCTTGGCTTTGGCCTTCTCCCTGCCCGGGCTGAACGGAGCAGAAACAACAGTTCACCTCTACTGACACTTTGCTGAGCGGCCGGCTAGCATTCCTTTATAAAGAAAACACACGAACCAGAAGCCGGTCCTGCTGTCTTTGTGCTCCGCCGCGGGGGCAGCAGGGACAGGTGTGCCGCCGGACCCACAGGGCTTGGTCTTGGCAGCGGTGCCCACTCCTGGTGCTTCATTCCGGGGAGAAAATGTCTGCGGATCCTGGCTGATGGAGCCTTAACAGATTTACCCAGGATTAGTTGTTCTGTTCTTTTGATCAAACCAGAATGTGCTTTGAGTTTTGCTCTCCACTAACCTGCACCATGATGCTCCTGCTGTGTGGGGACCAGCGGTTTGGTCTGAGCCTGGACTTTGTTCAACCAGCTGTCCAGTTGCCACTTGTTAGTGGAAGGGGGCTCCGGCTGCAGAGAGGACAAAAAACCCCCAAAACAAAACAAACAAAAAACACAACTTTATTAATATTTCAGCAGGCGCTCTCTGCAGCTCCTGCACTTTATCAGAGAGGAATCATAACTAAATTTCCTTCGGTCATAAACAAGTGAGAAACTCTGCGCGCCTCTAAAAATAATGAAACCGTCTCCGGATGAAGAATCTTTACAGAGGAATGTAAAAGTATTGCGTTTCTTGTGGTTATTGTATCACGCTGTGCTGGAAGCTCTTTATTGCATATGTGGAAGCTGCGGCGCTGCCGTCGTTTTCTCACCCCGCGTTTCTGCGTTTCTCCCAGTGTGTTAGACCGCATAAGCCTATAAAAGCAGGCAGCGTCGAGCCATTAAAATAATGTGATAACTAATGGCATGACTCGCCCCTCTGCGGTTGGGATTTTTATGGCTTTCGGAGCATAAAGCTTTTTTTGCTCCGCGGGACGAGGCGGCTTAGCAACGGTCTGGGTTGGAGCGAAGCAAACAGCCAGTGGATCAGGGAGAATAAAACCCTAAAGTCCAACTTACTCTTTAAAATGTAAGCCAAGTTTTGGACACTTGACTTGTATTCTTATTTTTTGAGTCATAGTTCTGCCTCATGAGCTGAAGTTGTTGGAAAAGGCAATCTGGGAATCTGCAGAGCAGCTCATGTATTTATCTACCTGTGTGAATACAGCAGCCAACATGAGGGGTAACTTATTATTTTCTATTAGTTTCTCATAGATCGCCTCAGTTAGCTTAAATTGGTAGCGTATGAGTAGCAGTAGACACAATGAAAAACAACAACAGCAGCAGCCTGCACAGGATGCAAACAAACAAGAACAATCATAAGTTTTTGCCTCATTTTTGAATCATTAGCTTATGGGGGTATTCAGCTGCTCCTTTTTCTAACTTCCTGTTGCATATAGCTGTGCTGTAGTGATAACATTGATAAATTTGCACTACAGCGAATTGATTTTAAAATATATATATACTGACAACCCCACCAAGCACCCAACAATAATCTTTTAGAACATTTTTTGTTGTTTTTTAATTACTGAAGAGAAAACCCCCCCAAAAAACGTAAAAAAATAATAATTTGGGAAAATAAGAAAATCTTTTCTTTGCTCACTTAAGAGCCTTTAATTAAACTTTACTTAAACATTTTATATTTACTATAAGTATATTAACACAAGCAGTTCATGTTGAATGTTTAATAATCTTTATCATTCACCCCATGACATTTTAGATGCTAAACACTTATTTGAGAATGTAATGATTATAAATACAATTTTCTTGTTACAAACTAATAAGCATTGAGAGCACAAGTTTTAGTTTATTATGGATTTTCTCTAATCCACACAAAGTACATAAAATACAGACTCAAATCTATACATTTTGATAAATGCAGAGAAACCATCCACTTTTTGTAGCCAGCAGTAAGCGTAAACAGCGTAAACAGTAAGTTTACTTTTTTATTATCCAAAATTTCCTGTGCAAATCATACACAATAATATTATAACAATGCGCTCTGTACACACTTGCACTGTTATGTTTGCTGTTTTTTTATGAGAACCCAAATGGAAGACACAATGCAGTTTGGGATTTAAAAATGGCAGAAACGTAAAGAAAGACATGAGGAGCATCAACATGAGAACCAGGGGAAGTGCAACAGTGAGAGAGAAACCAAGGAGCTTAAATACTATGAAGACCTGATGAGTAACATGGAAAACAGGTGCAATCAACAGAAAGCAGAGCAGCTGGGGACAATCTGGACAGAGAACTGAGAAGATTAATAATGGGCAACAGAGAAACTGAATGGAAACGATGAGGATCCAACTAATCTAAGCTAAACCACTTCAGAGACTAAACCTGAATACACACAGCAGGATACCGAAACATTTAATATCATGGAATGAACTAATGTGGAGAGACACTGAAATAATTAAAATGTAAACACAAGAGAGAACCAAAACTCAGATAGAAGTGGACTATGACCAGTTCTTCATAAATCTGACTGAATATTTGAAATATCATGGATATCAGGACACACTTTAAAGGAGCAGTATCACACTTTTTCCAGGCACATCGTGCCATTTCATAGAACAACCTATGAAACTATATTACCCTGGTTGCAGTAAGACATAGCCATAAATACGCTACATATACTAAGTATGACTTAAAAGAAATATTACTTTGTGATTTAACGCCTTGAAATTGGGCCTCTGTCCCTTTAAGAAGCTCCTGCTCTTTCTGGAACTCTGCCTTCAGGAAGTCATCACAACATGGCTGCTCTATTAACTCAATGTTTTTACCAGCGTTGCTCTGAGAAGTAGCTGGTATGATGAGCTCAGCTGTTCCACCAGGTGTTTGCTAATTGCTGCTGGCTAGTCTGCAGGAGCTGAGTGGGGGAGTCGCGTGAGCTTAGAAACTGCAACTCCAAGTAGGAGCGGCGTCTCAAAGGCGGTGCTGGGTGCCAGCTTAATGGTTGCCATGGAGATGAAAGGATTCCTCAAACATGCATCAAAGAATCAAGGCAGCAATCCATGTATGTTTTTGATGAGGGGATAACATTAAAACATGACATAAAGCTCAAAAAAGCGAGTCTCACATGATACGGCCCCTTTCGGCTCTCACTGTAAACGTCAGACTTTACCTCTGGAGTGTTTGTACGGGAAGCCTGGTTGTAGTCGCTGTCACTGGAGCTGCTCTCCGACTCGTCCGTGTCAGACTCGGAGCTGCTCTCTGATTCGCTGCTGCTCCCCGACGCACCGCTACAGGCCAGGAAAGGAAGGAGGAAAAAAAAGACGACAACATGTCACAACGGCAACAAACCAAAACCGTTGTAACAAGACGGCGACGAGGCACACTGATGGACACCGGCGCTGGTAATGAGGTGCGTGTCAGACAAGCTCCAGAATGAAGTTTCAGACTCCTAAAATGAATCGTAGGAAAGTTTTAAAGTGTTTGACGGCTTGAAAAAATCCAAAGGTGGAAAACGGTTCAGTTTTTCAGCCTAGGTTCTTTTTTTTTGTGTCCGTGTTTATTGATTCCAACCATTCAAAGTAAAGCTCCTTTTTCATTAGATTAAAAAAAAAAAAGTCTGTTTAAAACATGAAAATCTCACTAATGTAGCCAACACATTTTCTTTACTGCTGTAAAATAAAACCCAGCTGTCTTTTTTTATTCATCCTGCCAGTGAATTACAGTCTGTATACCAAAGGCTCTTAAGTCACATCTGTGGGATATGTGCTGCATCACATGTACCAGCAACACTAATATCTAAGATACGAACATGACAGCTTTATGATGAAGCCTTCCTGCGGGGGCATTCACTTTACATCCAAACTTTACAGTGCGGAGGCATTATTTTTTAGGAGCTCCACATGACTAACTGCGCCATATTGTAAAGCCATTTTATCCTCAGGCTGTGAAAACAAAACAAATCCATCAGAAAGCGAGAGATAGCAGGAACATTAAGAGAAGCCAAATCAAAAGTCCTCATACCTTTCTAGGAAAAGAATGTAATTTTGTGCTTGGCAACATAAAATGTCCTGGAAGGCAACACAAGACAGAATAATCTCTTTATACCACAAAGAGAGGAATATTATTGTTAGACTGCTATAAAAAGAAGATTTTACCAGCATGAAAGCATTTTGTCCCACGCACACACACACACACACGCACACACCTTCCCCCTGTCAGCTATATAAATCTCAACATCAGTTCAGACTTTATGAAACATTTTTAAAAGCCAGAAAAGACCTGGAAGAGAGTAGTGCAGTGATCCAATTGTACCAGAGGGACGGGGAATAAAGAATGGGAATAGGCTTAAACATGATGTACTGGAAGGCTGGATACTGGTTTGAATCAATCTGAAATCAAGCAAGGCAAGCTGTAGTTACTTCTAAATCTAAAACTAAAGCCAGGGGGTTAATAAACCTTCAACTGAGGAGGGAAGTTAAGTTGAGTTCATACAGCGAATGTCAATACAATATGCTTAAAAGGAAATAATACATAGATTAAAAAAGTCCAAATAAGCTGTTGTAAACAAGGTACTGGCGAAAGCTAAGCAGGACCGTGATGACGTCATGTCCTGTTGTGGTTTATTAGAAGACGGGTTGAGACGGCAGAGCAGAATTTGTTAAAGGTTTTATAAACCCCAGTGCCCTCTATTTGACCGTTTCTGTCAAGAAAGTGGCAAGGACAAGCGACTCGAACCCGTGGCTTCGGCCGCTTTGAGGACGGAAGCCTAACGTCAACGCTGCGCCCCAGAGTTTCTTTAACCGCAGTCTTAGCTCAGCGAGGCAGCTAGGTGTCACAGTCGGACAATGGAGAAGCGACGGGGTTGTCTTGTCAACCCTAATTTCCAGAAACCACAAAAAAGGGGAGGGGCTAATTAACACTGAGGGAGATGAACTAAAAGTCTCAAAGGAACGACAAACCAAGGGGAAGAGACTAACGAGAAAGAGACCAAAGAGAAACCAATTCAAATACTCAAAGGACAGAGTACAAGAATAAAGAAACTAAAACAAATGAACATGGCATCACCTTACTAACGGTAATGAGCCCAGAGAAATGAGCTGAATAGAGATTTAATTAGCATAAATACTGGAGTTTAAAAAGCTTGTCTGGATTAAACTTTAATATAGCAGTCAGATAATTTAAAGCTTTAAAAACAATCAGTATTTGAGAATGAATTCTCTGCTCTGGAAACCATTGTGTAGAGATTTTAAGATGAGAGAGAATCTTAGGATAAATACATAAAACAGCAAAATAACAGTTTCTTACAAGAAAAACAAACAATACATGTCTAACTTATAATTGTCATAAATTCTCTATAACCTCACTGTGTTTATTATAGTTTTATTTTAATGATTTCCATATGAGCCACATATTTTAGACTGTCTGCTTGAACTGATTATATCTTGATCAACAGACACATTCGGTAAATTAGAAAATTATTAAAAAGTCAATTTATTTCAGAAATGATATCAATGAATGAAACACATTATGTCTATTAATTCCACACAAAAAATACTTTATTTCTGTTAATTATGATGATTTTCTGCTAACAGCCAATGGAAACACAGCATTTATAACTCGAATATGAAGTGTGTTTAATACGTGCTTAAAGGTTACTTTGAAAAGGTGACTTTAATGTGACAAACAAGACTCAATATGACGTCAATTCAAACTTACTAAATATCACTTCACCAAGATTTGAGCGCTAAATGTAAGCGGTGTTGTGACGAAGATGTAAATAACCCTAAACATGGCCATTAGCAGGGAAAAAAAAGGATTAAAGATCAGTTTTTTCAGCGGCCAGTCGTGTTTTTATTGCATTTCAAAAAGAGCCGGTGATCAAAGACGGCAAAGTCCTTGCTGCTAATCCACAAAATGTTTAGCGAGTGATAAAGGGTCTAATAAAAGCTCTATTAACACACATAAACACGGCGCTCCCAGCCTGTTGGGTTGCGTTACCCTCTGTGGCGTTTCGCCCGCCCTTGTGTTCATCCATCCCTCCGCGCCACCTTAAATGGCCTCCTGGAGGCGACCTGCTCGTCCCGACCCTGACAACACACACACGCACACACACGCAGGAACGCACGCAGCGCGCCTGCAATTATGTGTAGCTCTCTTTGTGTGAGAGCGCACGTAATTTCAGTTCAAGGCTGCCATCACAGCAGGCACCAATCTGTGTGAGCAGTGAAGCAGCAAATCCATCAACTGTTCCTCTGGCAACACACACACTGAACAAGCACGCACACGCACGCACGCAAATACGCACGCACAGAGTGACGGATACTGTATGAATGTATGCCCTGTGTTTCTTCTATCATTACTCATCTATTCGCAGAAGCCCTTTCCCTCCATCTCTCAATTCCAATTAAATTTTCTCCTCACTTTGCTCTATTAATATTCTGATTGAAACAGCAACAAGTCAAAACCCAAGAGTACAAACGTGTGTGTGTGTGTGTGTGTGTGTTTGGTCACCTAATGCACCGAGTTCTGAGTTCGAAAAGTGGAAAATTTTCAACTTTTAAAACTCAGAAATTTTCTTAAAGGAAGGACATATCTGAGTTTCAAAAGTGGAAAACTTTTTACTTTTGAAATTTAGAAATTTTTAGAAAGAAATTAGGAAATTATTGAGATTGATCTCAAAATGTTGGAGGATTTGATGAGGATCTTAGATTTACTAGAAAATCTAGTAATCTTTAAAGAAAACTCAGAAATGTCCTTGTTTTTCCTAGAAAATTTCTTAAATATGTCTCAAAATTTTTTTTCTTGAAGCAAATTTTTGACTTTTCAAACTCAGAAATTCCCTTTATTTCTAGAAAATTTCTGAGATTAATTTCAAAATGGTGGATATTTACTCTACTTTTCCCTGAATGGCCCTTTTGTGGCGTTGTACTAAATCAAGAATGACATCATAACAACGAAACAGAGAATGTCTGCGATAATAAATATTACATTGTTCAGCTGCAAACACAGGTATTTACGCTGTAGCGAAGAAATGTTCTATCTCACAACTTCCACATGAAGGAGTAGGAAGGAAGAATCTTGGTACGAATGTTTGTGTTTGTCCACCAGATTACTGTTTCTGCCTGAAATTTTGGTGCAGGGATTTGGCTTTATGGAAAACACTGAAAGTTATGATAGCAGCTGCTATGAAAACACTCAGTGACAGAAGAGCAAAACAATGAGCTGGAAGAGGAGCTTAGAGGAATCCCATAATACAGAGGAGGATGACGGTCTGCCACTTCCTCAACATAAACAGATTTCAGTCTACAAACCTAAACATGATGCAGGCATTTCAGAGACATTTTACCTGTTGGTCTGACAGGAGACATTCAGATAACGTTGAAATCGGTTTTCCAGGCTTAATTACATTCACATTTACTGATAACTCATTACTTTGTCAGGTCTCCACATGCTGAGTCTTAAGTGTGACGGAGTATTAAGGTCACTCTAAACAAGTAAAAAGTATATAAAATTACCAGAATAAACTCGAAAGCCAAAAAAGTTAGAATATTACAACTTTATTCTGGGAATATTATGACTTTATTCTCATAACATTACTATTTTGTTTTTGTGATATTACGATTATCTCACTGTTTTTTTTTATTTTTACTTAGAATGGCCTCAGTACTCACAGGTACGTAAGAACATCATCCAGGTTTATTATGGGATATCAGTAGCAGGATATTGTTACTAGAGCTTGAAGGTCCATTCAGCAAGGAATGAGCTTATTTTTTTTATCTGTGTCAAATTTTTATATTTCTGCTTGACGATCATTATTATTATTATTTTTTTAAAAGAACAGTTCCTATTTATGTCAGAATGCCAACAATTGCTCATTCCTATCTTATCGTCTGAGACGCGATGAGTAAAATGTTGAGATAAAATATGTGAAAAATGGCATTTTTATGGATGGCAAACAGCTTGGTTATGCAACGATTTACTGGAGACGGCAGGCAGATGGTGGCAGCGGACACATCCTGGACGTCTCCGTCCCTCGATGCCTTGAAAGGATCGTTTGATGTGCGACTAAAGAGAAGCTAAAGTTGTGTGTATGTGTGGGTGTGTGTGTGTAAATCAGCAGGGCAGCTCTCTCTCTCTTTCTGAGCAGTCTCATTAGGATTATTGATTCAAACCTGAAACAGCAGACTGTGCAGCACATCCACCATTACTCTTTAAGGGGGAAAAATGGGCTCCTTTGAAAAAGAGTTGATGCTGCTGTAAGTAACTTTTTCACAATTTTACCGTGTTC